TCTTCTTTTAAATCCAGGTGCCTTGACACATGCAAGAAATTAGTCACCAGAGATTTAAAATAAAAACAGCATAACAAATTTCAAGTAACCTTACAAGAAAAGAAAAAAAATTGCTATGGAAAACCTTAAGAGTGATGAGAGTATTGTGATTAAAAAGGGGAGGCTTGGTCATTTTGCCAGTCGTGATATATTTGAAGGATGCCCATGCACAACGATAACTCTGCATATAAGAGATTTTAACAGATCCCACACTTAACATACAAGGTATTTTAACCAAGTTTTTAGATAAAGGAAAATAACTGCAAATTTTAAACAGGGATGAATATATTTATGTTAAATTACCCATCCTACCATACCCGTCATCTACTTATTTCCCAAAATTCAAAAAAATTAGAAAAACCCTCTTGGCCATACAATAGTTTCTGGTATCAACGCTATTTTATCCAACCTTTTAGAATACATATATATCCTCCTTCAGCTATACGCCTGCCACACAAAATCCCATCTTAAGGATAGTGTGAGCCTTTTACAGATTTTAAATAATTTTTAATTGGAATCTGATTACTTTTAAGTGACAAGTAATGTTTAATCCCTCTTTACCATGATTTAAATGATTCAGGCTGTGCCTCTTTTAAAATATTCTTCAAAAAGATGGCATTATTCCACAGGTACAAATTTAATTTATCTTCGAGGGAATAAATATTATTTAAAAAAAAAAAAAACTATAATTTCAGCACTTTATTTTAATCAAGCCCACTCCTTAAAAGAAAAATTTAAAGAAGAAAAAATCAATGCCTTTTCTTTAAAAGATACATTTAAAGAGAAAAAAATACAACACAGAAAAAAAAACACTACCTAATCAATGAAATTGCAGTATTAAAAAGAGAGGAACTCATACAATATAAAAATCCAATAAAGACAAAAATCACAATGCCCATCTGAGGACCCTGTGACGGAGCTCCCTGTACCCTGACTGGGTACCTCCGCCAAAGGACCGCTTCCTAGCTGGAACAGGGGACAAACCGCAGCACTTCTGCCCACAGTCGACGTGGCTTGACTAGGGCCCTTGAACCGCTCCTTCCTGGAGCTGAATGGGGAATTGGCTCTAGACACTCCCAGGCACTGGATGACACTCAGTCCTGGGAGATCTAGTCCTTACAAGGACTTTCCCCGTTGAATTCCCTGCAAGCTGGAACAGCAGACACAGGAGCAAATCTTTTTACCCTCCAATAACAGGACGACACACAGTTTTGAAGTGCAAGCTGGAATAGATTTTAATGGTGCCACACTTGACCTTTTATGCAAGTCCCCAAGCAAGGGGTACGCCCACATGGACCTTGATGGGGACAGGGACACAAACTTACAAACCAATAATAACACATTTACAATGTAAGGCACTCCCACATATGAGAAGTGAATGCTGCTGACTGGGTCAGTGAGAATTCACATGGTCGGTCACCTTTGCCACTGAAACAGACCACTGGCTCACAAGTGGAGGTTTTAATATCCTACTTGGACACGATATGGTATTATCCTGCTATATCTGAATATACGGTGGTATTAATTCATTTATTATCTGCACTGGGTTTTGTATATATATTGTATATTGTATATTTTGTATTTCTGTATCCGGTGTTATTCACAATATCAGTTACACTACCCATTGACATATTAAGTATATATAAGAAAGCCAAAACTGTGAAGCGCCAACCCACTATTTATATTACTTTCTGCTCCCACACATGACACACAATCTTTCCCCTCTGCTTGGGAGATAATTGGATCAGTAACTGTACTAATTCTAATCCAATTATCTCCAAGCACAGAAATAAATACATTTCTAAAAAGTCCAAAAAGTACCCCAAAACACATGATATCCCTACAAATGTTACATCCATTGATAGTCCTGATCTGGGTGACCAACATATCCAAAAATAACCCAGATCAGTTCAGGGGTTCAGGAATTTCCTGTAAGTCATAATTTTGACCGACCGTGCACACTATAGTGATCCTTTAAGTAAAAGGCTAAAATGTGCTCCAATACTGAAATTGTAAACACTTTTCTACATATATTGATATTAATACATTTGTCAGACCAGCCACTTTAACCCCTTAAGGACCAAACTTCTGGAATAAAAGGGAATCGTGACATGTCACACATGTCATGTTTCCTTAAGGGGTTAAAAGGCCTCATATATGTGTGAATAACCAAAACAGTTCCATGAAATCTGTGCTAACAATATAGCTTGGTTGCTACTTCTAAGTGCTGTTTCTAAGTGTGTAGTTGGAGATATTCTGAAGAGTTTTACAGAAGCTTCAACTGTCTAAGAGTTGTGCTAAGAGCTTTCTTTTCTACTGTTACAGGTAAAATTCATCTGTAGGAAAAGGTTACTGATTGCCCAAGGTTTGAATTCCTGTTGGTAATTATAAGGCATTTGATTAGATTACTTGCTATTGATTGCTGTTTAAATTAGCTATTGTTTGGCAATAAGCAGAGGCCTACCCAGGTGTTAAACATTCCTAGTGGGTGGTGATTTTAGGAGTTATATAAGGGTTGTTGTCATTAGCTTGGCTAATATAGCTTGGTTGCTTCATCTAAGTGCTGTTTCTAAGTGTGTAGTTGGAGATATTCTGGAGAGTGCTGTTTCTCAGTGTGTAGTTGGAGATATTCTGGAGAGTGCTGTTTCTAAGTGTGTAGTCGTAAATATTCTGGAGATAAACTGGAGGTAATCTGAGGTATTCAGGAGGATAAATACAAAGTTAAGATTTGTTTGATTTAAATTATTCTCCTCATTGGAATGGCAGACTTAGTTCAGTGTAATAGTTGCTATGCATTTGTTTCACGTTCCACCTTTTGGAGGTTTGGTTGTTGTCTAATCTGTAGACAGTTCTTGCGGCAGGAGATTGTATTTTTGAAGTCTGAGATTTGTAAATTATCTGGTGAACAAACTCAGGCTGGAAATGCTGCAAAGCCACTGCCGCAGAGACATACTAGGAACGGCAGATGGATTACTTTTGCACAGTCTGTTGATCATCATAATTCATTTTCTGCACTTTCAGAGTGTAATGGTGTTGTGGAGAGAGGCACTGAGGCTAGTGGTGTTGTGGAGAGAGGCACTGAGGCTAGTGGTATTGTGGAGAGAGGCACTGAGGCTAGTGGTGTTGTGGAGAGAGGCACTGAGGTTAGTGGTGTTGTGGAGAGGGGCACTGAGCCTAGTGGTATTGTGGAGAGAGGCACTGAGGCTAGTGGTGTTGTGGAGACCGGCTTGGAGACTATGGTGAGGCCTAATAGAAAGCAGTTGTTGTTGTTGGGGGATTCCATTATAAGAGGTGTGGAGATGGAGAATGGTGGTCTTGTGAGGTGTCTTCCCAGAGCTACTGCTCACAGAGACAGGAGACATATCTGTAATATTGTTAAGCAAGCAAAGCAGGAAGGGGAATTGGATGTACTTGTCCATCTAGGGACAAATGACTTGGCTTGCAATGAGGTTTCAGAGGTTAAGGAAGTTTTTAGTGTTTTTGCCAATGATATACGGCAGGTTGCTTCCACACTGTCATTCTCTGAAGTTCTGCCTGTGCATAATACTCAGAACGACAGGTGGATGCGTATTAGGGACTTTAATTTGTGGCTTGGTGAATGGTGTCGGGAGCAAGGATTTGGCTTTATTTCTCATGGTAGCTCTGTTTGGAATGGAGATAAGCTGTACAAAAAAGATGGTTTGCATCTTTCTCAAAAGGTAACAAATGTTCTCAGTGAGCAGTTCCGAGATTTTGCTAGGATGTATTTAAACTAGGAGGGGGGGACGACAAAAGGGTGCTAAAACATCAATCCAATTGTCCCCCAAAACAAGGACAGAAGGTGCTTGTAGCAAGTGTGTTAAAAAATGATAAGCTTAGAGTCATGTCTACAAATGCTCGCAGTTTAGGGAATAAGATCCATGAACTTGTGGCAATAATGGCAACTGATAGTGTAGATTTAGTCGATGTTACTGAGACATGGTATAATGAGAAAAATGACTGGGACATAGCAATACCAGGGTACTCTTTATATAGGAAAGATAGGGAAGGCAAGAAAGGGGGAGGGGTGGCCTTGTATGTGAAGGATAGCATAAAATCTAGCCTAATAAAAGTTACTGAGGCAAACATAGAGTCCGTTTGGGCTACGTTAGAATTTGGTAATCACACAGTAACTCGTGTAGGTGTGATTTATAGGCCCCAGGACAAATTGAAGAGTTAGATAATCTACTAGTTGAGGAAATAGCTAAAATGACAATGAAGGGGGAAGTTATCATCATGGGTGACTTTAATCTTCCTGATGTAAATTGGAAAACAAAATTAGCTACTTGCGCCAGGAGCACACATATTCTAAACTCCCTACTGGGATTGTCTCTAAAACAAGTTGTTGAGGAGCCAACTCGTAAAGAGGCCATACTAGATTTAGTGTTAACAAATGGAGATTTGCTATCAGATATTACTGTAGGTGAAAGTTTAGGATCCAGTGATCATCAGTCAGTGTGTTTTAATATAAGAACAGTGACCGAGTCTCACCACACAAAAACAAAAGTTTTAGACTGTAGAAAAACTGACTTTTCTAAAATTAGACTATGTGTAGAGGAGTCGTTATCAGACTGGAGCAATTTAAATGGAGAAATGGGATTATTTAAAAGTTGCACTATTGAAGGCAACAGAAAATTGCATTAGGCTTGTCAGTAAAAGCAAAAAATTCAAGAAACCACTGTGGTACTCCGCAGATGTGGCCAAAATAGTTAAAAACAAAAAAGTTAGCATTTAGGAATTATAAAAAAACCCAGAGTGAGGGAGACAAAATGATCTATAAGATTAGGCAGAAAGAGGCTAAGCAAGTTATAAGAGCTTCCAAATCACACACAGAAGAGAAAATAGCACAGTCAGTAAAAAAGGGGGACAAAACATTTTTTTAGATACATAAATGAGAAAAGAAAAGTAAAACAAGGATTAGTTAGATTAATTATCCCTCCCAGGATAAAGGTAAGAAGGGAGGGGGGGATATAATTTTTTTTTTTATTAATAAAAAAAATATTTAAATTTAAATAAAAAATACATTCACTCACTCACACAGCACCCAGACACAGCACCCCCAGACACACACAGCACCCCCAGACACACACAGCACCCAGACACAGCACCCCCAGACACACACAGCACCCCCAGACACACACAGAACCCCCAGACACACACAGAACCCCCAGACACACACATAACCCAGACACACACAGCACCCAGACACACACAGCACCCCCAGACACACACAGCACAGCACCCCAGACACACACAGCACTCCCCAGACACACAGCACCCCAGACACAGCACCCAAACTCACACTGCACCCCAGACACCCACAGACACACACAGCACACAGCACCAGACACACACAGCACCCAGACACACAACACCCCCAGACACACACAGCACCCAGACACACAGCACCCCAGACACACACAGCACCCAGACACACACAGCACCCAGCACACAGACACACACAGACACACAGCTACACACACAGCACCCCTCAGACACACACAGCACCCAGACACACACAGCACCCCCAGACACACACAGCACCCAGACACACACAGCACCCCCAGACACACACAGCATCCCCAGACACACACAGCACCCAGACTCACACTGCACCCCCAGACACACACAGCACCCCCAGACACAGCACCCAAACTCACACTGCACCCCCAGACACACACAGAACCCCCAGACCCACACAGAGACCCCCAGACACACACAGCACCCCAGACCACACACAGCACCCCCAACACACACAGCACCCAGACACACACAGCACCCTCACTCACACACACAGCACACTCCCACACACACACACATATATATATATATATATATATATATATAAATAAAATAACCCTCAGTGAGTTAACAGACAAAGAAAATTAGAAACCTAGAATGTGACAGCAGAAAAAAACACCCTCACACACAGCACCCCTCTTACATACACACACTGCGCCCCTCACACATACTATAAGTCCAAATATATATATATATACACACACACACACACACACACACACACACTACAGCACCCCTCACACTGCACCACTACAAACATTACGCTCCAGATACACACTAGATCTATTACCCTATATGCACACTTAATTCTCTACACACACACACACACACACACACAGACACAGGGTCCTTTACACAGTAGATCTCCTACACACACACACACTACGTTCCTTGTCAGCAAACACATACAACATTATCTAAACACACCCTCTCTGCAACCCCTACACACACTACGTCACCTATACACACACACTCGCTGCATCCCCTTTAAAACTATGCCCCCTATACACACACTCTCTACAGCCCCTAGCCACACATATTACACCACAAATACAAATGAAATTGACCTATTTACACAATACCACACCACACTCTACACACACGCAATCCCACAAGCAGGCTCCAAACATATGCACCATGCACTTTCCTGGCCCTTTTGTCCTCTGGTATCCCACTTGTGGAGACACCAGAGACAATTTAAAAGCAAACACAGTGCAAGCATGTTATTAAATTTGCTTGCGCTGCGCAAAACAAATTCAGGGCCTTTTTCTAATGCCAGAGCTCTTCAGCAGGGCTCTGGGCATTGAACCAACATGCTCACTTTGAGAGGGGGAGTACTTGTCATTAGTGATGACAAAACACACACTCTCTGGCCCCGCCCCCTTCTTAGGGGGCCGCTCTGATTGAAAAATGCCCGGGCCTAATTTTTTTCCCAGTCCGGCCCTGTAAATAGGGAAGTGCTGATGCCATTGACAGAACACTGGTGAGACCTCACTTGGAGTATTGTACACAGTACTGGAGACCGTATCTTCAGAAGCATATTGATACCTAAGAGAGGGTTCAGAGAATGACTACTAAACTGGTTCATGTATTGCGGGATAAAACTTACCAGGAAAGGTTAAAGGATCTTAACATGTATATCTTGGAGGAAAGACGAGACAGGGGGGATATGATAGAAACATTTAAATATATAAAGGGAATCAACACAGTAAAGGAGGAGACTATATTTAAAAAAAGAAAAACTACCACAACAAGAGGGACAAAGGTAAAGGTTAAAAATAATATCAGGAAGTATTACCTGAGAGGGTAGTGGATGCATGGAATAGCCTTCCAGCTGAAGTGGTAGAGGTTAACACAGTAAAAGAGTTTAAGCATGCATGGGATAGGCATAAGGCTATCCTAACTATAAGATAAGGCTAGGGACTAATGAAAGTATTTAGAAAATTGGGCAGACTAGATGGGCCGAATGGTTCTTATCTGCCATCACATTCTATGTTTCTATGTAACAGTCAATCAAGTTTGGTAGTCTTATACAGATTTCCCTGCAGGCACCATAGTCTGTGGGCAGGAGGGTGGCAAGCAGGCTCCTCCAGGAGCTTGTGGCAAACTCACTTGGAGAGGGGAGTTTGTCACAGACCCCATCATGGTGTTACTCCCTAGTTTCTTTCTAGAGCTGCTTAGGACCCTGAACGTGGCACAAATGTGTTTAATGATGCACTCGTGCTATGCTTTCTAGGGAAAGTATCCTGGTGTCTGCCAGCCGTCACATGTCCTCTCCTTCCCTTCTAGCAGACAGAAGCTCCTTGTATGTAATTTGGGCACTGGCATACATATCATGGTCGCAGGGGTTGCAGGGGTCGCAGCTGCGACCGGGCTCGGCCCACCAGGGGGCCTGGCCACCCTGTGACCGGGTATTTACGCCAGTTTGCCAGCCTCTTCTTCTGGGGGCCCCCAGGCTGGCAGTGGTGTCAATCTGCAGGTTGGCGGGTGCGTGAGGGAGCATTCTCCCCTGAGCGCTCTCTGCCCAGCTCTTTCGCGTGAACTGCAGTGATTCCGGAGCCAGAATATGGCATCATTCTGGCTCCGGCATCAGTAAGTGGATCGAGAGCTGAAAAGGAGGATCAGTTCTCCCTCGCGGCCTGCACTGGACCCCGGGGAATCCCCTCAACACTCCCAAAGGTAGGGAGGCTGGGGGATAAAAAAAATGAGTGTGTGTGTATATGTGTGTTAGTGTGTGTGTGTTAATTTTTGTGTGTCTGTGTGTGAGTTACTGTGTGTGTCTGTTACTGAGTGTGTTAGTTGTGTGTTTGTGTGTGTCTGTTATTTAGTGTGTGTCTGCTAGTGTGTGTGGTAGTTGTGTGTTAGTTTGTGTGTGTCTGTTATTGAGTGTGTGTCTGCTAGTGAGGATCAGTGTGTGTGAGTGTGTTACTGAGCGTGTTAGTTTGTGTGTGTCTGTTTGGTGTCTGTTAGTGAGTGTGTGTTTGTTAGTGAGTGTGTGTTTGTCAGTGAGAGTGTATGTTTGTAAGTGAGTGTGTATGTCTGTCTGTCAGTGAGTGTGTATGTATGTCTGTCACTGAGTGTGTGTCTGTCAGTAAATGTGTGTGTCTGTTAGCTAGTGTGTATGTGTCTGTTTGTGAGAGTGTGTGTGTGTGTGTGGTTAAAACTCCTTCAGCACTTACCTTTCTCCAGCGCCGGGCTCCCTGGCGCTGGGGATCTCTCCGCCCGTTCCGCCTCTCAGCTCCGAATGTGCATGCATGGCAAGCGTGCATTCAAACCACCCATAAGAAAGCATTACTCAATGTTTTTCTATGGACGTCCTGCGTCTTCTCACTGTGATTTTCACAGTGAGAATCGCAAAAGCGCCTCTAGCGGCTGTCAGTGAGACAGCTACTAGACGCTTGATTAACCCTCAGTGAAACATAGCAGTTTCTCTGAAACTGCTATGTTTTCAGCTGCAGGTTTAAAACTAGAGGGACCTGGCACCGAGACCACTTCATTGAGCTGAAGAAATCTGAGTGCCTATAGTGGTCCTTTATGTGTATGTATCTGCATGCAGTGGCGTACATACAGCGGTCGCAGGGCTGGGACCAGGTGCCCACCGCAAAGTGTTGCGGCCCCAGCACTGGGGCCCCTATGGATCCCATGTATGCCACTGAATCTGGGACAGAGAAAAAGGTGGATGTAGTGAGTGTAGCAGAAAGTGGACATGCCACACTGTAAAGCGTAGGAAGCACCAAGAGCATTTGCGCAGTGTGCAAACTCAGCTTAATGCTAACTATTTTATGGTCAGACAGTCTGACACAAGCTTGGTTCCCCTGTATCCCTCCTAAGTTCCCCTATTTAATTCTCTATACTTAATTCCCTGGAGTTTCAGTTCTATTCGCTACTGTATTTATCTGGATCTGTATATAGTGACTTGGTAGTTTTTTGGCATGTTTGTATTTTTTATTTTTTTTTATTTTTTTACAGTTCACAGTTAATTTTGCATCGAAATTATCATTCAACATCAAATACTCTGATTACTGCAAATTATGTTTATGTAGTGCTACAATTCCTAAACTAAAACTTAATTGAGTTGGTCAAGATTTAATCATTGTACAGTGTAACTGTTTTCCCAATCACAGTAAATCTAATTGACTTGCAATATGTTAAGCAATGATATTGAAAGCACAGCCTACTTATTTAAGTTCAATTAGTTCCCTACAATAATTTGCAAGCAAATTAAGCAGTTAAGGAGTTTAGGCAAGTACATTTAATTCAGTACAAAAAAAAAAATATTTCAAAAAATATTAAAAAATTTATTTTCTTTTTATCCACATAAGCATGAACTGTCTTATAAACTTAAAATAAGTAAAAAAATAAAATAAAATAAACTATGAAAATGCATTACTATGAATATGATTCACTGAATAGTAATAGTTTCATTTTATTTAACATAAATTAATTTAGAAGACAAAAAGTGTTTCTTAGAATTCATTGAAAGACTAGGTTTGTTAAAGTACATTCAATTAGTATTTTATTTATGTTTCAAGGGTGAGCACTGCAAAGCAATTAAAAAAAATCATATAGTAGAAGATGTCAGGAGCAGTGATGGAAGATGACTGCTTGCTTGCATCTTCTGTTATAGCAGGGTTTGGATGAATCTATTTACCTATGCCTAGAAAGTCACTGGCTGGAGCCATCTGCCAATTTCTCCATGGTAATTGTGCTTTAGTAGCTATTTTCCAACTTTGAAACCCTGGACAGGATTATATTTCCATTTTAGTTTATTGTGCAATGTAGTCCAAGATGATGCTTGAGGATCTTTTTTAATTCCTGACAAATTCACTACTGACTATGCACGACTGACTAATGACTAAACACTTCAAATTAGGTGAAGTTACCTCCCAGGTTAGTTCCTCAATGGCATACATGAATGCTAAAGTCATATATACACAATTTGTAATCTGTATTAAATACACTTCTCAAAAAAATAAAGGGAACACTTAAACAACACAACGTAACTCCAAGTCACTCACACTTCTGTGAAATCAAACTGTCCACTTAGGAAGCAACACTGAGTGACAATCAATTTCACATGCTGTTGTGCAAATGGGTTAGACAACAGGTGGAAATTATAGGCAATTAGCAAGACACCCCCAATAAAGGAGTGGTTCTGCAGGTGGTGACCACAGACTACTTCTCAGTTCCTATGCTTCCTGGCTGATGTTTTGGTCACTTTTGAATGCTGGCGGTGCTTTCACTCTAGTGGTAGCATGAGACGGAGTCTACGACCCACAAAAGTGGCTCAGGTAGTGCAGCACATCCAGGATGGCACATCAATGCAAGCTGTGGCAAGAAGGTTTGCTGTGTCTGTCAGCGTAGTGTCCAGAGCATGGAGGTGCTACCAGGAGACAGGCCAGTACATCAGGAGACGTGGAGGAGGCAGTAGGGGGCAACAACCCAGCAGCAGGACCACTACCTCCGTCTTTGTGCAAGGAGGAACAGGAGGAGCACTGCCAGAGCCCTGCAAAATGACCTCCAGCAGGCAACAAATGTGCATGTGTCTGCTCAAACGGTCAGAAACAAACTCCATGAGGGTAGTATGAGGGCCTGACGTCCACAGGCTTACAGCCCATCACCGTGCAGGACATTTGGCATTTGCCAGAGAACACCAAGATTGGCAAATTTGCCAATTTGCCACTGGCGCCCTGTGCTCTTCACAGATGAAAGCAGGTTCACACTGAGCACATGTGACAGACTTGAGAGTCTGGAGATGCCGTGGAGAACGTTCTGCTGCCTGCAACATCCTCCAGCATGACTGGTTTGGCAGTGGGTCAGCAATGGTGTGGGCTGGCATTTCTTTGGGGGGGCCGCACAGCCCTCCATGTGCTTGCCAGAGGTAGCCTGACGTGGAGGCCACACACACTGCTGAGCCTCATTTTGACTTGTTTTAAGGACATTACATCAAAGTTGGATCAGCCTGTAGTGTGTTTTTCCACCTTGATTTTGAGTGTGACTCCAAATCCAGACCTCCATGGGTTGAAAAATTTGATTTCCATTTTTTAATTTTTGTGTGATTTTGTTGTCAGCACATTCAACTATGTAAAGAACAAAGTATTTCAGAAGAATATTTAATTCATTCAGATCTAGGATGTGTTATTTTTGTGTTGCCTTTATTTATTTGAGAAGTGTACATTGAAAGGAAGGTGATTAACTTCATGTTAAAGCCACTTACTACCAAACCTCAGATCTCTCATTACCACTACCATGAAAACATTAGAAGTATCACAGTTCCAGCACAGATCCTCACATGGTTCCCTGCCATTTCTGTAAGTAATATTTTCTTATCTATGACTTGCTAACTACCACTGATTATATGGCCCACTGTGTCATCTATCACTGTATTGTTTTATGTACAACTACATATAGGTTTTACTGTGACAGAGCAATATCATAAAGGATTTACTGTGACAGAGCAATATGCCTTCCATTAAAGCGGCACTGTCATGCCGAACTTACCTTTCTTTAATCAATTCCTCTTTTCTCCCTCTGCCAGGATCTGTTCTACATTTCTTCCTGTCTACTCTAGTTTTCTTTGAAACATAAGACAAAGTAGGGACTACTTGTCTTATGGAAGTTTCCTACGCCTGACCATCTCTGACCAGCAGAGGAGCAAAATGTGCTTCATTTCCGGTGGTCAGAGAAATTTTCCCATAATTCTTACCTTTCCTCCCTGTTCCCGCGATGCTCCTGTCAAATTGCGTCCTCAGAGAATGAGAACAGTTTCTCTATTCGTGTTAGGATGCAATTCGTGACTTTATTTGGATCGGAATTTCATTCTAATGAATGAAGCTATGATCCTATTCGTGCCGCGGCTGCATCTTGCAGCCGCTTAGTAGATAACTCCCTAATTCTCACAGGATCAGGGAGCTATCTACCAAAAGGCAGAAATTGGTCTTTTAGCCACATTTACTAATACTAAGTAAAGATTACTTAGAATTAGTAAATTCTGCCCCTACTCGCTATATCGCGAGTAGGGGCATGTATAGTAAACAGTGAGCAGCCAGTGGCTGCTCACTGTTAAAAAAAACAAAAAACATCTCCCCCCTCCCGAGCCCACCCATGCCACTCCAGTGGGGGATATTAAACTGAAGGGGGGACCTAGAGCAGCGGGTGGGGGCCCTAAATGTGATTGTGGGGGGGACCTTTTGTCCTCCTCCCTGGCCCCCAACCCTGAGCGGTGAGTGGGGGCCCTAAAGTATAATGAGGGGGGTTGGACCTATTGTCCTCCCCCCTGCCCCCACCCCTGTGCAGCATGTGGGGGCCTTAAATAATAATAAGGGGGGCCCTATTACCTTCCCCTCCAGCCCCCACCCCTGAGTGGCGGGTGGGGGCCCTAAATGAGAATGCCGGGGGGACTATTTTATTTGTTTGGGTGAGAGGGGGTGACTAGGGGCTTGAGGATTCCTAGTCACCTTGGGGGGGATTTTCATTTAGGGCCCCCACCCACTGCTCAGAGGTGGGGGCCAGGGGGGAGGACAATAGGTCCCCCCCCACATTCTCATTTAGGGCCCCCACCTGCCGCTCAGGGGTGGGGGTCGGGGGGAGGACAATAGGTCCCCCCACCCTATTGTTATTTAGGGCACCCACCCACCACGCAGGGGTGGGGGCCAGGGGGGAGGACAGTAGGTGCCCCCTTATTGTTTTTTGTCCCCCACCCACCGCTCAGGGGTGAGTGCCAGGGGGGAGGACAGTAGGTCCCCCCTTATTGTTATTCAGGGCCCCCACACGCCGCTCAGGGGTGGGGGCCGGGGGTATGGGTACTAGGGGTACTGACGAATGAATAAATAGATGAAATTCCCGTTCACATGCCCAAGTGTTTAACTGGGCATGTGCGCGAATTTCACAGCTCTATCTAGTGTGGGCAGGTAACGTGTCCGACAGGGACTTCATCTACCAACACAAAGATGGTGGCGCCCTGAACATATGTCCGGGCACAAAAGAAAGATTGAAAAATAGGTAATATCGGGGTGTTAGGGGCATTTGGGGGTGACTAGGGGATCAGTTAGATGGAGTGGAGGGGGGTTAAAAAAAACGGGATTCGGCCATGACAGTGTTGCTTTAACTGTGAGAGAAGATAGTGTGTGCTTTAAAAGGAGCTACAATATATCAATTATGTTCCAAGGTGAAGCTCTCAGAGAGTGGGAGTGGGATATATAGACAATAGCAACACCTGCTCACCTAGACTGACCCAATTGGTTCTTGATGTGGATTCTCTATACCTAGTGATAGACGAACATTCAGGCTCCTATGTGAAAAAAACAGATAAACCTGTAATGATTTCACATGATCTGTTTTACAGATGTTCTAATTGCAGTGATGGTCTCCTTTTTTATCAGTAGATACTGTTGTATGGAGCAAGGGAATTGCTGTGGGACTAACTGGAGTTAGAGCTCTGAATGGGGTCAAAAAAGGCTCCAGGTCTGATTCTCTCAACATATCATTGTTATCCCTATGTTACTTGTAATATTGAGAGATGAAAAACAATCCAATTTCATAAAGTGTGTAGCAGGGCATAACTTTGGAGGGACTAAGGTCAGTATAGATACATAAAAAGTAGAGGGGGAAGAGTCTGCGCTTAACAACAAATAGAAAGAAAGCTGCAACCCTCAAAGGGAATCCCTCAAAAAACCCTTATAAGATAGACATAAAAATAGAGGAGTTAGGGGCTGCGCTATTAAAAGGTAAACCAGAAATCAATGAATAAAAACCAATGAATAAAAACGTATATTCAACAATTGCTAAAAACCTGGTTGTAATAGTTCCAATTATAATATGTTAAAGAGTAATGTCCGTCCAAATTGTTCAATGAAAATCAAAAAAATAGAAAATATCCAAAATAAAATAAATAGAAACAGTCTCACTGATATGGAGTATGAGTACAATCCTCAGGGGTAATTCCGTCCGGGTTGTAAATAGTCCATATATGTGGAAATAAGAAAAAAACTGCCAACAGTGAAATATTGTAAATCCAAGGACGGAAAGATTAATCAAAAGGAGGATATTGAACTCACATTTGATTGAGCTACGGCCAGCTCTGAGGTGAAGGGCACTTAGTGGTATAATCCCCACTTCAGGATATAGTTGAATAGTAGATCCGTCCTTCCGGCTATGGATTACTTTGATGTAGCTAGGACCGGCTCTTATGTGAGAGACGCTTGGTGCTATATTCCCCACTTTTGGGTATGCTGGGAGGGTTGGTCCGTCTGTTCAGCTGGGTACCGTCGTATTCCACAGGATATATGAAACAGTAATATTGCTCTCAGTAGGAACAAATAAAATAAATAAAATAAAATATACTCACAAGGATAGAGCAGACTGGTACTGCTCTATTACCACAGCACTGGTGGAATTATCCCCACCTAAGGATTTCTTGAGACAGGATACAGTAAAAAGTAGTAATAGTATATAAAAATTAGGAATACAAATAAATAAAATATAATGATAAAAAATGACAGGAATAGTACTAATAAAAGTGTATAAAAGTACAATAAAATAAGTAAAAGATTGGTCCTATAAAAGAGGTAACCAAAAATAACTTTTATACACTATTTAAAACCATTTACGCGTTTCGCCTTTGGGGTTTTATCAAAATGCTAATAGCTATTATATATTTGTCAGGATTACTGTTTGATCCAGCACGTAGAACTGTACAGCACGGATGACAAATAAGTAACGTATTACCGGTCCTTAGAATGGCCGGATTTAACGTACAAAGAATAGTCAAAAATACTAGCCGAGGTCAGGGAACACAGAAAGGGACACAGCGATGAGGAAAGCCAGGAGTCAGGATACCAGAATATAGAGAAGTCAATAAACAAAGCCAAAGTCAAAAACCAGGTAGAAAACTATAAACAGGAACGCGCTCTCAGACAACCACAAGGGAAACCACGACAGGGCACTGAGCAGGCTGAGAACTGGGCCTAAATACCCCTCCTTTAGTTCTGATAGGCTGTAACCGGCCTTTGACCCCAAAGTCAGTTACCAGGTTTCATTTGCATAATTGCTGCTCAGCATTAACCCTTCTGTGGATTAGGTTGCTGCTCGGCACAACTTTTCCTGTGTGGACAGTAAATGTCATTAACCACTTTTCTATAAGCGGATGAATACATGACACCAGGTTTCATTTGCACAATTACTGCTCAGCATTAACCCTTCTGTGGATTAGGTTGCTGCTCGGCACAACTTTTCCTGTGTGGACAGTAAATGTCATTAACCACATTTCTATAAGCGGATGAATACGTGACAATATTATAGCTATAATAGCTAATACCTATTATCATTTTGATAAAACCCCATAGGTGAAATGCGTAAATGGTTTTAAAGAGTGTATTTTAAATCAATAAAAGTTATTTTTGGTTACCTCTTTTATAGGACCAATCTTTTACTTATTTTATTGTACTTATATTCACTTTTATTAGTACTATTCCTGGCATTTTTTATCATTATATTTTATTTATTTTTATTCCTATTTTTTATATACTATTACTACTTTTTACTGTATCCTGTCACAAGAAATCCTTAGGTGGGGATAATTCCACCAGCGCTGTGGCTATAGAGCAGTACCAGTCTGCTCTATCCTTGTGAGTATATTTTATTTTATTTATTTTATTTGTTCCTACTGAGAGCACTATTACTGTTTCATATATCCTGCGGAATACGACGGTACCCAGCTGAACAGACGGACCAACCCTCCCAGCATACCCAAAAGTGGGGAGTATAGCACCAAGCGTCTCTCACATAAGAGCCGGTCCTAGCTACATCAAAGTAATCCATAGCCGGAAGGACAGATCTACTATTCAAGTATATCCTGAAGTGGGGATTATACCACTAAGTGCCCTTCACCTCAGAGCTGGCCGTAGCTCCATCAAATGTGAGTTCAATATCCTCCTTTTGATTAATCTTTCCGTCCTTGGATTTACAATATTTCACTATTGGCAGTTTTTTTCTGTGTTCTTATTTCCACATATACAGACTATTTACAACCCGTACGGAATTACCCCTGAGGATTGTACTCATACTCCATATCAGTGAGACTGTTTCTATTTATTTTATTTTGGATATTTTCCATTTTTTCGATTTTCATTGAACAATTTGGACGGACATTACTCTTTAACATATTATAATTGGAACTATTACAACCAGGTTTTTAGCAATTGTTGAATATACGTTTTTATTCATTGGTTTTTATTCATTGATTTCTGGTTTACCTTTTAATAGTGCAGCCCCTAACTCCTTTATTTTCAGTATAGATTCATAGCAGAGGTCATAAAATGTACCCATTGGCTGAAGTCCTGGTTTTCTTACCAACAAGCAGAACCCCTGAATTGGATTATGCCTACTTGCTAGCTCTCCACATTTTGCATCCTCTTTGTGGATAAGACTTGGTCTGATCACAATACAGTTTACTACAAAGGACATGTTATAAATATATTATTGCATGATTGTATTTGTCTAACTTGTTGTTAACTTAGTTAACTGACAATTGTCCACCAACTATAAGACCTCTTTGTCAGCTCGGAATAGGGAGAGTCACAATTATGTTTTGAAAAACTTAAAAAAAGAAACACTTGAAGCCGTTCATGTTACTGTGAGAAACTTTCCAAGTGTATTTGAAGAAGTATATAAGGAGAACTTAGCAGTGGAGGCTTTTAGTCTCGGCACAGAGAAAAGGTAAGTAAAAGTATTAAAAACATTTTTTTATGGCAAATGGGGTGGCGGATACAACAGCGGCACTATAAAGTTTGAAATAAAGATTTGTATTTCCTATATCAGTGTATCACTGTATCGCAATAGTGTTGTTTAAATTAATGAATTTATTGCTATATACAAAAATCTGCCTGGGGTATCTGCTACACGCTTTGTGCAGAAATTAAACCATACCTAAGCACACCTAGAATTAAACTATACACTTGTATTGATTGATAGATAGATAGATAGATAGATAGATAGATAGATAGATAAAGGCTTGTGCAGAATGATAAGATGTGGTTCTTCTAAACAACTTCGGAAAAATAAATACGTAAGTAAATAAAGAAAAATGGCAATGCAGAATTTAGTTTAGTTCATGCTGCTGTTCTGCCCAGCCAAATTTTGGTGCTAAAAGAAATTTCAGTGATCATCCTTCAGTTTGGTAAGACCAGTACCCTATTAGCTTATCCAACTGTATATGCAGCAGTAGTAGGCACCACAAGACGTAGTCAGGCAGGGCAAAACTACTACAATCAAATGAATGTAAAAAAGGGGGAGCAGCAAAAGAAGTATTTTAATTTAATAATTATTATTATTATTATTATTATTATTTATTTTATGAGGAGAGCAAACAAGGGAATGCTCCTAACTGGCATATGAGACACTGTTTCCTTACTTGCTTCTTAGGGGATACAAGAAATTGAAAATAACACATAATTTCCATGCCACCACAAGCCATAATCTCACCATTTTAAACAATCCTGGACATATTTATTTTGGTTCTTGATTCACACTGCTGTTCCTGGCACAAGAAAAAAACATAATTGAAAAAAGGAAAATAGGCTTTTTTGGGGAAAATAGGCAGCTTAGTTTCTCATGAAGGGCAAAATGCCTGCCAGATCATTTTTGCCACCTAATCAAGAGGTAGCAAAAAAAAGAAAAAATATGTTTGATGGTTAGAGGGCAGTCACCAAATTGCGATTTTCTTCACAGATCAATTGTAAACTGACCAAAAGAGGAAACAAATGAGGTTCAAAAAACAGTCTATACTTCCAAGCTGTATTTATATAGATACTTTGTTTGAAGCTATGCATCTACATTAGGCGTTTGACTAGCAGTAATATTGTGTCATTAATTCTAGTGTGAGATTGGTTTAGATTTTTGCTGTATTTAGCTAGCTAGCTACTGCCAGGGATAATTGAAACAACTTTCAGTGGGAGACAGGGGATTGGCAGACATTTTGTTGTGATGCAGATGACACGCAAATCTACCTGTCCTCTCCTGATCTCTCTCCGCCCATCTTGACTTATTTCTCTGACTGCCTCTCTTCAATTTCCAACTGGATGGCTGCTCACTTCCTTAAACTCAACCTGTCCAAAACAGACCCTGACTACTGCAATACCCTTCTCAGTGCTCTTACGTGTTCCCAGATTGCACCGCTGCAATCTATAATGAATGCGGTGGCGAGGCTCATTTTCCTGTCCGCTCACACCTCCCACGCCTCTTCGCTCTGTCAGTCCCTGCATTGGCTTCCAGTTATATATAGTGCTCAATTTAAAATTCTGGTGCTTGCTTACAAGTCCCTACATAATGCTGCTCCAACCTACCTATCCTCCCTAATACACAAGTATGTCCCTTCGAGGCCCCTACGCTCTGCCAAAGACCTACGTATATCCTCTGTCCGTACTGCCACCTCTAATGCTCGCCTCCATGATTTCTCCAGGGCTGCACCTCTTCTGTGGAACTCCCTTCCCTTCTAAGTAAGACTTTCACCCAGTCTCCACTCAATAAAAAAATCCTTGAAAACTCACTTTTTCAAGAAAGCATATCAATTAAACTGTTAGCAGGTTTTTATCCCCCATCCCCCACGACTCATCTACTGCAACTGTCAAAAAATTACTTGCTAATCCCTCAGTGAATACTTTTCTAATAACCCTACTTTTACCCTTTGTGTCACTATACCCCACTCCCTCTAGAATGTAAGCTCATAGAGCAGGCCCTCGACCTCTCTGTTCCTGTACGTCCAGTTATATGGTTGCAATTACATGTCTGTTAGTCTACCCATTGTACAGTGCTATGGAATCTGATGGTGCTATGTAAATAATAAATAATATGGATGTGCATGGGAAAAGTTTCGGTTCGGTTCGGCATTCTGAAATTCAGGACTTTGGCAATTCGGAACTTCGGGACTTCAGAATTTCGGCACTTCAATCCTTCGGAACTTCGGCAACTTCGAAACTTCGGCACTTCAGAATTTCGTAACTTCGGCACTTCTTTTGCAGCCATTTAGTAGATAACTCCCTAATACCGTTGGAATCTACCAAAAGGCTACCAAAAGGCTGAAAGACCTAAAAATTACTTAGTATTAGTAAATTCTGCCCCTACTCGCTATACAGCGAGTAGGGGTAAGTCTATTAAACAGTGAGCAGCCACTGTAAAAAAACAAAGAAAAACATCCCCCCCCCGGCCCCCACCGCTGAACAAAGGGTGGGGGCCCTAAATGAGAATGTGGGGGGGACCTATTGTCCTCTCTCTGGCCCTCACCCCTGCATGATGGGTGGGGGCCCTAAATGAGAATGTGGGGGGGACCTATTGTCCTCCCCCCGGCCCCCACCCCTGATTGGTTGGTGGGGGCCCTAAATTAGAATATTGTCCTCCCCCCTGCCCCCACCCCTGAGCAGTGGGTGGCTTCCCTAAGTTAGAATAAGCAGGGGGGACCTAAATAAAAATTTAACCCCCCCCAGGTGACTAGTCACCCACCTCCCAAAAAAAAAATAACCCCTACCTACCCCCACACCCTAAAAATAATGAGGGGGGACCATTAATTAGATACCTGTAAAAAAACAAAAAAAATTACCATTTGATGTCTTCTTTCTTCTTAAATCTTCTGTTTTCAGCCCCAAAAAAGGCCAAATAAAAATCCATAATAACCGACGCACTTTAAAAAACAAAAACAAAAAACATAGCGCAAAAAAATAATTAATCTTCACCTATGGAGGGCACCGCACAGACTGAGCTCTGCAGGGCAGGGGAAGGCTTAAAAAAGCCTTGACCCGCCCTGCAATTAGGCTCAGAGTACTCTGGTTGGTTGGTTTAAGCCATCCAATTAGAGTGCTCTGACAGGTAAATGAAGAGACTGACAGGTAAGTCTCTACATTTACCTGTCACAGCACTCTGATTGGTTAGCTTGAAATCCAGCCAATCAGAGAGTTATGTGTCAAATTACACAGCGTGGGAAAGTTCCAAAGAACTTTTTTTTTACAGGTACCTAGTTAATGGCCCCCCCTCATTATTTTTAGGGTGAGGGGGGTAGGTAGGGGTTATTTTTTGGGGGGAGGAGGGTGACTAGGGGTTTGGGGACCCCTAGTCACCTGGGGGGGTTACATTTTTATTTAGTGCCCCAACCCGCTGCTCAGGGGTTGGGGCCAGGGGGAAGGACAATAGGTCCCCCCCTTATTCTAATTTAGGGCCCCCACCCACCGCTCAAGGGTCTGTCTGTATGTATGTGTGCCAGTCTGTTTGTATGTATGTGTCTTGTCTGTATGTATGTGTGCCTGTATGTCTGTTTGTATGTGTGTGTCTTTGTATGTATGTTTGTTGTGTGTGTGTGTCTGTCTGTCTGTATGTGTGTGTGTCTGTAAGAATGTGTGCCTGTCTGTTTGTATGTATGTATGTGTCTTTGTATGTATGTGTCTGTCTGTATGTATCTGTCTGTCTGTGTGTGTCTCTATATGTATGTGTGTGTGTGTGTGTGTGTGTGTCGGCGGGGAAGTTAGAGGGGGGGAATAGGGAGGAAGGGGGGGCCCATGGGTTATGTTCAGTTTCATCACTATGCATCAGTTTCGCACTGGGGCCCCATGGGTTATGTGTATGACACTGGATGCAAGTGTTGTCACAGCTTCCAAAGATACAAAACAACGAGCATCTTCATTGACTCCAAGGCCAAGGGTTGCAGTTGATATATTGTGCCAAAGCAAAGTTTGACATTAGTTTGACAGCCTCCAGCCTCCTCCTCTTTAGAGATTTTGAAATAGCTGTTAATTGTAGAAGAATAAAATCTGCACCATGAAATTACAAAAAATAGGCTGATTCTTAAAAATATTGTTCATATCTTCCATTATTCTTATGTATTGGTTTTTTTTTTTCTCCTATTGCAAGTCACATGAAGTCCTGGACTGGCCATCAGGCAAACTGGGCAAATGCCAGAAGATCTCCTGTGCCGGCCCATGCAAAGCCAGCACTATCCAAGCGCTGGCCCTGCTTTGTGCCATGACGGGCTGGTGGAAAGATAAAAATTCTTCCTCACTGACCCAAAGGCAGTAAAATCTGGCAACGGAGGAAGGAGAGGAGGACCTTATACATACACTGCAACACTTACACACAATACATTCCAGACAAACACACGCTACATTGTAGGGACATCTCTGAATTCCCTACATACATTACCTATACACACACTCTGGATACTTTTTGGAATCATGAGCGAAAGGCATTGAGGTAGGTCTGTCTACAGGGCTCAAAAATAATTTGTTTAGTACTTTATGGTTAGATGCTTCAGTTAATAAATACAAATTCTGAGGTGCCCAAAATAAACACATTTTGGTAACTCAGAATTGGCATTGCAAAAATGATGATATTACGCACCCATTGGACAAGGCAATATTGTAGCCATTTTGTTTTGCATGTTAGGACAATCTCAGGCACCATTCTTTCTGCTGATCTGTCTTCCAAAATTGATTTCCTAAATGTGTAATCAATTTATTTTTCACATGTAACTCCTAACACCATCTAGTAAACGGAGTTGTAGTTTTATACTTTTTAGGGCAATTCACTTTGAACAGAGCGTTTGAATTTACCATTACTTCTCACTTACACCAGCTTGTAAGATCTGAACTATTGTAACATTTCAGCAATGACAGGTTTTCTTAAGATGCTCACTAGTAAATTGAGGTAATTACATGAATTGTAGGATTAATTTGAATACATTGCTTTAAATTTTAACTGTTTATAAAGGAAAGAGTAGAAAAATTAACAGAATAAAGGAGCCAAAAATATAGTCCAGTGATGAAAATTATAGCATATCAGCATATAAGGCTATAATTTGAAACCACTTAACTTAAAATAGTTTAATATTTTTAATGATGAGTGGAGATAAAGACATCTTAAGACACTTGTAATGTGTTTATTTAAAAAGAGAATACAGCCATCTGTTCTAAAATATTGTATCTCAAGCTTCTCCATTTTCTTTCATACATTTTTCTTCCCACTGTGCACATCTTTTTATGTTGATTTTCAAAATTAAATCTAATTATATAATTGCTCTGAAAAGGCTTCTGTTCATTAAAACAAATAGCCCTCGATGCTGACTTGCTATTAGTCCCATTATATTAGTCAAGCATGTTATAAAATATAAATCTACTTATATGTTGTTGTGTTCTGAAGTTGTACTTATTTTTATATACCAAACCTTATTTGAATGCTTTAATTCCTGTTTTGGGGTATTCCTGGAATGTTTTTAAAGAAAAAATTTAATTCATTGCATAGTTCAGTATTCAGTACACGTTAAAAAGCGCAACAGAAATCTCTGCTTTAGATAGTGTGGCCACATGAATAGACAGAGGAAAGGATACTGCATTACCTATAGAAAAACCTTCACTATGTGCAGCTCACCCACTCACTGTCACAAAAGGAAGCTTTCAGCAGTCAAAGTCCAAACATTTTGCCCAATGCACAGGCTTTAAATATCTTTATTTAAACACTGCACGATTTAAAAGTACATTATAGTCACCAGAACTACAGCTTACTGTTCTGGTGTCTATACCCTGTCCCTGTAGGCTTTTTAATGTAAATGCTGCCTTTTCAGATAAAATGCAGTGTTTATATTTCTGGCTAGTTACACATCTAGTTTCAGTCACTCAGATGGATACTAGAGGTGCTTCCTGCGTTCAGCTTCTCCATGTTCTGCATAGAAACGCTTAAAGCTCCCCCTAGAGATGCATTAATTCAATACACCTCTATGAGGAGATGCTGACTGATGCAGAGCAAAGCAAAGGAAAGCATTGGATTTGTTGAGATCATCAAGATTGGACTTGAAACCAAGAAATTTCCCTATGGACCAGCATATCTCTTGGCTGATGCTGGATCCCCACTCCAGTCACTTCTTAGCATAGCATGGTAGAGCCTCACACAGATGCACCTCTACAGTGGTCCACGGCTCGGCCACGCTACAAGAAGGTCAGCAGGCACAGGAGGGGAGGGGGGTGATGAGACATATTGAGAGCCTGGGGGGAATGACAATGAGACACATGGAGGGGCTAGTGGGAGAAATTAGACACATGGACAAGTTGGGAGGGGTAATTAGACAGATGGAAAAGGAAGGGGTGAAAGAGAGAAACTGGCTTGGGCTACACAAAAGGGATTGGGGGAGAAAGACATGCAAAAGGAGCTGGAGGAAAGAGACATACAGAGAGGCTGAAAAGGGAAAAAGAGAAACACAAAGGGGCTGGGAGGAAGTAAAAGATACACAACGGGGGTTGTAAGAGACACGCAAGAAGGGAAGAAGGGTGTAAGACCCACAAAGGTGAAATATAGGGCATAAGATACACTAAAGCAGTGCATCAATGGTGAAGATGCATTTTTTTTTTTGCTGGTATGGTAGGGGATGTGTCTTTGCCTGTGTCTCCTGTTCTGCCTGTAACACAGTTCTTCTGCACAGGAGTCAATGCTAAAGATTTGATTGACAGGTGAGAGAAATGGACACTATAAAAAGAAATGGACACTATAGTCACCAGAACCACTACAGTTTAAGTGCCTCTGGTGTCTATAGACTGTCCCTTCAGACTGAGCACTGTAAATGCTTCCTTTTTAGAGAAAAGGCAGTGTTTACATTGTTGCCTAGGAACACCTCTAGTGGCAGTCACTCCGTCTGCCAATAGAGGTGCTTCGTGGTCCAGTGCTGTGCAGTGTGCAGCACCTACATTCAGTGTCTCCATGCTCTGCATGGAGGCACTGAACGCTACCCACAGACATTCATTGATTCAATGCATCTCTATGTTTTGCCACACATGCGCAATAGCCTTTCAATGCTTTCCTGTGTGAAAGTATTGGATTGGCTAAGATCATTCAGTTTGATGATGTTAGCCAAAATGAAGAGCACACTCATATTACTTCAAAATAAACAAGATGATATTTTTTTTACAGCTGTGCAACAGTAGCATACATTCATCATTTCAGTCACATTACAAAACTTTCCTTACTATGTCAAGGTAGTTGGACTGAAACATTGATATACAATGGTATACAAATGCACGTCTGCTTAAAATAAAACCGCTCCCTTGTTTACTTTGAAGCCCTATGCATGCTTTCTTTTACGTTGGAGTAGTAGTTTCTAATTTTAAGTTATCCTTTTCACTTCTATATCTGCACACATTTTTTTTTTACCAGGGTTGATTTACATTTCCAGTGGGGCCAGCTACGGGGAGACCAGCACTGTGTGGGGAAAAAAAGGGTGAGTAAAGTCACTTTTTCAGATTGATCGGAGGTGCGAGGATCTAAACAGCCACACAGGTACTATAGTATCAGGAATACATATTTGTATCCCTGACACTATAGTGTTCTTTTAATTTATTTGCGGATCCTATTTTTAGCACTGGAATAGAGGTTTAATGGTTTTAAACAAATTAGGATTTTTTTTTCACCAATATCAGTGCTTGCTGCTACAGGATAGTTGTGCTAGCTACTACTAGGCTCATCTTTCACGGCTATCCAGGATACTCGCTTGCCACCACTCAAACTCATGCATCCTGCAGCCTCTCCATTGCCATTCAGTGCTGCCAAATGATGGTCATTACTGACACGTGTCAATCACTATAAAAGTCCAGTTTGACCTTAATACTGCTCCCTGTTGTATTTTCATGATTCTTTAATGTATTTTGTTCATTGGCCCTTATGCCTGGTACCACTTGACTAAGCTTAGTATTACATTTATTCTGTTTGGTTATCCATTACTTTCTTGCCTGCTTGCAAGCACACTGTTTCCTATACTCTTGGTACTGCATTAGCACAACTCTAGACAAGTACATCCTGCTATCATTCCTTCTTTTTTTTTTTAACTACCTGACTAGATGCTATACCTGTGACATCATCAACCTCATTAGCACACATGATGTGCATGTGCTCCAATATTGTTAATTATCCTGTAGGCAGGCAAAATAGACACATTAGATGTCTCTGTGTAACTTTTATATTTTATTTTATTTTATTTATTTTATATGATTTTCTCCCCATCTTGTCTATTTTTGCATTCACTTTCATTCTGTCTGCTATATGTACAGCATATTATCTATTGTAGGTTGTATGAGATAGTTGGACTGTAACTTTAGTCCTGCAAGACAAATAATAAATTATTGTTAATGGAATTTCAAGGAGGCATTGTTCATTTGGTGTGACAAGCAAGAAAATATTACTTATTTATGGTATATGGTTGCACGGCCATATACAAGGCCCTTATCTAGGTATGTTATTGTCCAACTTGAAATCAAGGCATGCCACGAACCAGATCCGCCACTTGGGTATCACCAATAACCATACTAAATTGCAAGTGGACTACTCAAAAATAACATTCATTAAACCCCAATTAAAAGCTAACATAACCAATATGAAAAAAGTACAACTTTTCATGCAAAAAGAGTAAAAAAAATAAATATATTTAATATATATGCACACTCTAAATACAGTGGGTAGACAACGGCTCCAATGAAGTGTGCAAGTAACTTACAGACTTTAGAGCCCACCCTTGGATGTATGTATAATGCTCAGTAGTGGATATGGTGGCCAATCTTCATGTAAGGTAAAATTATGAAGTCTCCACAAGAGTCGCAGGACCTCACACGTCATTGGGCAACCACCATTTTAGGACATTTACGTGTGTTGTGATCAGTGGTACCATGTCAAATGCCTCTTCATTATCATCTCTATCTAGTCCAGCCATTACGGGCCTCTCACGGTAAAGTTGGTTATATACATGTCATGATATGGAGCAGGTCTGCCATTGTGCTTCACTATGTGTGTGTTGCAACTGCTCCACAGCTCCACAGCCATTAATCAACCCACGTCCTACCATTTCATACATCTGCTAATTCTCATACTGCCCTTACGTGGCCACCCTGCTACTCATAAATTGCAAAAGAGCTCTCTCATCCTTCTACTCCAATACTTTTGACACACATCACTCACTAGACCTTCATTACATATGCTTCAAACACCCTTTGGTGGGCTTACCGCTACAACCAAATTTTGGCCTTTCTGCAGCACAGGGGTTATATATTGCCCTATTATGCTATGTTTAAGAAAGCCATTCAGTGTAAAATCCTAATAACAAACAAATAAAAAAAAAATGTAAAAAAACTAAAACAAAACAGATACGCAATTCACAGTCCATTCCTACAACCTTGGTAATGTTAACCTACATCTGTTCATGCCATAATCCGTACATCTCATACAGCCTATTATCCACCCGGCAGCTCAAAACTTACATTTGGCCTTTCACTGTTATACCTCTATGCACTCCATAGGTTACATAGGGCCCCTCCGCAGGCAATGTACTATGACACAATATCATCCCCTCATTTGGGTAATTACATCCGACATAAGACTTACATTTAGCACTCCTCGCCTTCCGCAGCAATACCTCTACTCACGGCCCTCACTAGGCCATAACTCCATACGTTACATACGGCCATCCGTGGTCATTCCACTATAACACACTTTAATGCCCCTCATTTGAGCAATTACATATGACATAAGACCTACATTTAGCACTCCCTGCCTTCTGCTGCAAAGCCTCTACTCACAGCCCTCACTAAGCCTTCATTTGTTACATACAGCCCTCCACGGGCAATTTACTACAACACAATTTTGCCCCCACATTTGGGCAATTACGTATGACATTTCATTCTTTACAAGACTAAAAAAGATGAAAGGGGAGGCAGCACCACAGGTGAAATAAAATATAAATAAATAAATAAACCTGATTATAAACTATACAAGCACATATACAAGACACTATATAAGAGAAAATACATACAAGATAAAAAACCAAAAAGAGCTTGAAATATGGATAATGAATAATAATCAAGAGTCCAAAGATTAAGTCCAAAAGAGTCTATGCCTGATAAATGCAGCAAAAAAAAGTCCAAATAAAACCTTGTATAAGAAGTCAGTCACAATCTTGTCAGGGGAAGTATTCCTCAGTAACGTATGGACATGGGATATTCATGAAATCCATATGAAAAAAATGAAAAGACAGCAAATAATGGTGCAGTATATCCCAACAGGTACTAAGTACTGTTTTTAGAGGTCTATATGGTCCTACGCACGTTTTCCAGAGCTATAAGACTAGCTCTAGTGTGGATGGCATACAGTGGTACAATCCCCACTTATGGGATACGTGAAGTTTTGTAGTGGATGGATATCTTGTTGGTGTAAGGACCATATGAAATGTAAAAGAAACACTAATAGTGCTTATTGTATAAAAGCCAGAGGTGAAGTAATAAAATACCAAGTGGTTACTCACATTTTATTAAGCAGGCAGACTGCTCAATGGATAAAGCTTGAGTGGTATAATCCCCACCAAGGATTCTTTGGAGTAAGAATAAAAACTCTGGTGCCAGGTAAAAATAAATAAAAGAGTAAAATGGCTGACTCACAAGTTGAAAGTGGCCAAAATACCTTTAATAAAATACAGCAATTAAAATACCACAACACATTTCTCCCCTTAGGGCTTTCTCAAGTGGATAAAAACATGTACCTGACAACACTGGCTTTATATAGGCCTCAGATTACTTAATTTTGGTGCCAAAAATTAGGTCATGTGACTTTTTATTTTTTGGTGTGTAACTTTATTGTAGAACATGTTTCAGCCATATTAGGGAGGGCAATGAAACATGTGTCAGCCATATTAGGGAGAGCAATGAAAAAAGTGGAAGAAGGGAATGAATGATTAAAACATATATGTGTGTTCTGGTTTGGTATTTTGGGTATTTGACTTTGGCTCTGGTTTGGTTACTCTGTGTTCTCTTTCCCTTTGACTCGGCTTGTACTTTTGCTTAACTGTTTTCTGTTTTCTGGCTCCCTTGACCTCGGCTCGTCCCTGACTATTCTTTGTCCTTACTAACGTTAGTCTGGCCATTCTAAGGTTCGGTATACATTTTCTTATTACACTCTGCGTATTTGATCCCAGTGTTGTTCCTGACAACCATCCATCCAGATCATTGCAACATGGTTGAGATATTGTGTGGTCAACTTACAAAAATGGCAACATCAGATATCAGAATCTTACAGTTTTCACTGATAGACTATTACTAGATATACTCAAGATTGAGGCTCCCAGTAACAGCAAATGCATGCCTCACTAAGAAGACATCAAGTAGTAGACTAGTCTCAATGATCTAAGTGACAGCATTTTAAACAACCACAGAACAGGGAACCATGGTAGACATAAAGTACAGAGAGCTTCACAAGGGGCTTAAATTAATTAAACCAGCAAAATAAACCTATATTCATATACAGTTTGTTTTTAGTAAACCAAGGGATTGGCACATATACAGTTTCTTCTGCTTCTGGCTGGTTTCATAATAGTGATAAATTAATCATTTGTAATAGAGAATTGCCACAAGCGAATGCATTTATTTCACACTCCACAAGGCCTGAAGAATTATATATTCGCTGGTCATCCTTGCGTAGAGTACATATTTCTTTCTAAAGCATTTAACCATTACTGATTAGCATATATGTCACTATTATATATTCCTATACAAAAACATAAAGTTAGTGCTATTAAAATGTATTGAATAGACACATTTTGGCTTTGCAGTTTGTCTATATTAAAATAATAATGAATTCACTGTTGCATAGAAAATAGATAAAATAGAGCAGAGTTACACAGAATAAATAAAATTGTGGCTGTGTGGTTGCTGGGGGTATTGAACACTTTTTAAATAGTTTGCAATTACTTTCCAGGCTGCTGTGATATCTTGTGTATTCTATGTACCTAATTTGTTAGTATATGTACAGAAATGTTGTAATATTCTAATGAAGATACAGCCCTGATACAGAATTAGTCTTGAGCAGTTTAGTGTATTTACACCAATATTAACCATATTTATCCCGATGTGTCTGGCAAAATTACAGGCTGTGAGTGGTGTGCTCACAATGGGAGCAATAAACTATCGTCAGAATTGTGGTGCAGCATGAGTTTGTCAAAGATTACCATGAAGGATAAATAGTTTTTAATGCTCTAGAACAGAGTTTTATTTATTTATTTATTTTTATTTAAGATTTTAAGAAATAAGTTGTAATACACAGAGAAAGACATGACAAAGAGTCAATCAGTACATTTTTCAAGTAATTAAAAAACACATAAAAAAGCTTTCAAGAGCCAGCTACATATATGAAAAACAAATGGTTTGTAGAATGCACAAATTCAAACATAAACCCATAAATAAACTTCAAGAGAGGACTTCTTGATTTTTTTTTAATATTCAATACATAGTCACATAGCTGAAAAGAGACATGTTGATCCAAAAGAAGGCAAAAAACCCAGTTTGAAGCACTTCCAATTTTGCAACAAAAAAGGAAAAAAATGCCTTCTTCACCACAGAATGACAGTCATATCTCCTTGGATCAAGAAACTATACTGAGGTGTCCCGTTGCCAATCGCGGGAACGAAAACCAGTCTGCAATGAGTTAGGCGATCTCCTGAAGGTACTCTGGTTGGAGAGTGACCTTGTGTGGAAGTTATAAATGATAAATGTCCTTCGTTATTACTATAAGAGTCCGAAGCCGGACTCTGCCCAGGTGGTTTATGTATCAAGTCACTGAGATATTGTCCATGTGTAGGAGGATACATCAGACATGTCCTTGGCTAACTGTAAGTCATAGATGATCCTGCCCCCAGTTGTCTTTTCCCCAGACCATGGGCCTCCAATAGGAGTATGTTCAGTGAACTTCCCAGCCATAGAGGCTGATGGTCGATTTCACTATGAAATCTGGTGCGGATCCAAAGATGGCTCTGCCGTTCCATGTCGGTATATGTGGGAGCCAACATGAATTTCCATTCACCTCTCTGATGACACCATCATCCAGTGGTCCTAGGAGCGCCTTGTCCCCAGGTAATAGACTTTCGGGTATTGCATAGCCCGGTAGTTTAGAGTCCCTGGGGAGGTTGCATGTATAAAAGAGGGAAGGAGTCACATCACTCTGGCCAGGAACCAAAGTGGAATGGAGTTCTTGCGGAGTAAGTAACACATCTCCCTGCGAATTCTGGTCCTTTCATACGAGCCATTGAATCCCAGCATGTTGTCTAGATAGGTAGTGTGACAGACCCTCCATCAATCAAGGCTCCTAGTGCTTACCAAGGTCCATCAGCACTGCACCAGACACCATAAGCACTGCAGGTCCTACAAACCACTGCAGCTTGGCGGGGAACTCGCCGTCCTCTACCCTTGCTGGACCTACGACAAGGGGCATTGTTCCAAGTCCCAATATGCACAATTAGTGTTTTTAAAGGGCAATACATCCCAGGGGCCATAGTCACAGGGTAAGAGGCTGGCAAGCAGGCCTCTCCAAAAATCAGTGGTGAGGTCACTTTTGCCACATATCTCCCTCCTTAGGGGAAGACTAACCAGGTACCTGACCTCACGCCGGTCTGTACCTGAGTTAGTCTGGCAGCCCACCCACAACCAAATTCTGGACCTGGTGAATTTGGTAGCCTGTCTCTGTCCAGTGAGTCCACCAAGGTTGTGTTGGTATTTGGTACTCGCGGTCTCTGGGTTGCTCTCTGCCTTGGAATGGAGGTTACTTTGTGGGCAGAGATCAGTGGTGCTCTGCCCTGTATGCCACCTTCCAGCTCTGCAGCTGGGGGAGCCGGGGCATAGGCATTACAGCTGGGTATGGAAGTGGGTAGTCAGTTCCTGGATCACTGACCAGGGGAGGACAGAGGCTAACTGTGCTCTGCCTTGTTGCCAGTGCTTCTGCTGGGTTAGCCTGCAGGGAGTCAGGCTTTGGACAAGGGGAAAATTGAGGGAAGAAGTCGACCACACTCTGCCCGGATGCCAGCTCTTCTGCTGGAAGGGGATCAGTGGGTATCGCAGACTCATCTACTGCCCCCCAGGACCGGTTCGGGATTAGCTGGGGAGAGAAGAACTCGCTTACCTCCTCCTCCTGGTATCCCTGCGGGGATGTTTGGGGATCTGGACCGTCCAGCATCCCTGTAGGATTGTTACATAGACTGCTGTCCCATCTGCGCCAGTGGGGTTAGGGTTGCTTTCCCCCTGTAGTTGAGGTGAGGGACCAGTTGTACCCTCTCCAGGTATCTATGGCTGCTGTTGGAGGGTGAGGCCGGTTGCCTCCAGTCCCCAGGACGCTGCTTGCTGTAACGTGGAGGGATCGACCATCTCCTCTTCCTGGAAATCAGGCCGCCACTGGGGAGAGAGACTGGTTGTCTCTTCTCCCTGCAAAGTATACTGCCCGATCACTAGATTCCTCACAAACTGCACATATTTCTCAGCTGGATTGGGACTGTAGAAAGCCAGCCGCAGATTCATCATAGCATCAAACTCTGCCTCAGTGTAGCTGAGCGCCATGCTCTCTGTACGGGGACAAGCATTGTCCTTAATTATAAATCCACACATTACCAGTGTCTTCCAGGATGCTTTACCTCGTACTAGGAAGCCATCCCGCCATTGCCACCAGATGTGACAAGGCTCCAGGTTCCAGTGGGTGAACCTCTCCTCCAAGAGAGAGTAGCAGGAACAATCTCTTAAAAGAGCTTAGTGATTATAGCCCAGGGGAGTATACAGAGTATAGCAATACCCCAGTGTAGATGCAGCCTTTTCCCCCACACATGAGACGAGGCTCTATGTTGAGGGTAAAAGAGGAACTCAGCAGACCTGAGGGTTTATTGTTTTTATACAGTTTTCCCCACAAGGTTACCACCAAAGTGGACCTTGTGGGGCACAGGACACAAAGTCACAAAGCCAATCAAAACAATATTGTACAGTTAGACACTCCCAGATAACGTACACAAACGCTCCCCTCTGCTTGTGATACAATTAACAAAGACAATGGACTAACTCAATTAACTCTAAGCAGAAAAAACATACATTTTTACAAACCCCAAAAAGTACCCCAAAATACAACATATTCCTGCAAAAGTTACATCCCCTGATAGCCCCGATCTGGGTAAACAAAATATCCAAACATCACCCAGATCGGTTCAAGGGTCCAGGAATTTCCTGGAAGTCTTATTTTTGCCCCACCGTGCACATGGTCCCATGCCCAAAACAGTTCCATACACTCGATGACAAAACACTGCTGGACAATTCAAGATGGCCGCTGCCACATGTTTGAATCTGTTCCAGTTAAAAGTCCAAGGGGCACTGTGCCAAGTCCCAATATGCACAATTAGTATTTTTTTTTTTATGTTTTAAAGTTAAAATAAATCTTTGCCTCGTAGCAAGTTTAGTTGGCTATACATTAAATAAACAATTCACATAAATAAGTGATTACAGAAAGACAAATGGATAGTATGTAAAACTAAAAAGAAACAAAATTAAGAAAAAATACATTTGCTAAATGTTTTAACTTACGACAAGTCAGTTCCAAGGAGGCACAACATTTAAAATGATGTGAGCAGTGATGTGAATTCATAATTTTTTTTTATTTATTTGCGAAAAATGTTTACAAACAGACCTGCAGTGCTACAATGGCAGTAACAAGCAAATCAAGGCATTCAGTATCATGACATAGGTTTGAACTGCACAATTTTAAACAAGTAAAAACAGTGTAATGTAGGTCTCTGCAGAAGATAAGCAGGTAAGAGTGGTATGAAACAGGTATATAAACTGGCATTTCTGATATAAAAAAAAAAAAAGGAATAGTATTATAATAAGATAATAAGAGCATGCTTCACATGTATAACCAGCTTCTGAATTATATGTTATCTTGGGATTGTATATAAACGGGTAATCGTTCAGGCAATTTACACACATAGCAACATGGGAAGCCTGTTGGGTAGGTATGGGCCATGTGGCTGCTGGTCAAGGCCCCTTGTATAAGTGTATGGGTCAAAAAGCAACACCAGGCTTTTATGCCGCTGGGTTGGGACAAAAATACAGAAGCCATAGGCCACAAATACCACTGGGTAAGACAATGTGTATGGAGTTTAAAAAGGAACCCCAAAAAAATAATAATCTAAGAAACAGTAGTACAATCGTGTTACCAGTTGCATTGCATAGCTTTAACTGGTTGAACCAGACCTCTTGCTGTCTGAGCTCAAGTTGTGTTATGGGAGCTGTAAATCAGGAATAAATATTATTTAGTGCAGTATTTCCTGACACTGACTGTAAGCTGTATCTCTGGTACCTGCTATGTACCTTTAGGGTTAAGGTGTGTCGCTAGGCGTTTTGCATCTTAGTAGCTACTAGATCTTGTGCCGGAGATCCTACTGGAGATATCTGATTGGGCTCTGTGGTGTTCTTTGGGGCTGTGAAGACCCTAGATGATGAGGAGTGGGCCCTGTGGCGTGTAGTTTTGAGTAGCTGCCCTGTAAATAGTGGGTCGCTTTAGTGTTAGGATTGTTGGGAGCCTATACGTGCCTGAGTGGACATCTAGTAGTGCGCGAGTGAGGCAGTGTGCGATTGTTGCCTGCACTGGTTTTGGGCAATAGTGAGGCTCTTGCTTGCTGTTCCCCTAACCATGGGGGATGTGGGGGGGGGTGAGTCGCAGGTTCCCTTACTCGCGGGGTTGGGGGTTGTAACTCCTCTCCTGTGTTTCCTGTCTTAAGAAGACCCTGATAGTGAGGCAAGCATTTGTAAGTGTATCAAACAGGAATAAAAACTTATAACAAAATACTTGAACAAAAACAATGATGATGCGGCCCTTGGTTGTTTGCGTGAGCCATGTCTAGGTAATCAGTCATGTTCCATTCCGAGGTTCGTGTTGTTTGTGTCGTGGGGTGAAGGGGACTATGGTGGTCAGGTCCCATGAGTGGGTACTGGCTGAGTCATCAGGAGGTGCGGAGAGTCCCAGTCTCCCAAATAGGGCTGGAGCTTCCTCTGCCGAGAATATAGTGTGAGCTGTCCTGTTGTAGAGCACGCTGAGCGATCTTGGTGGCGTCCAGCGGTATGCTATTCCAGCATTCCTGAGCCGGCTTGTCACTGGGAGCATTGTGCGCCTCCACTGTAAGGTGGACCGTGATAGGTCTTGATAAAATGACAGGCCTTAGCCCTCAAACTGGTAAGGTGTGTGTGTGGTCTCATAGTGCTGCCAGGAGTGTCCACTTGTCTTGTGCGGATGTGCACTGGATGAGGATGTTGCTGACAGGCTGAGATGGGGCCCTGGCTGATTTTGGTAGGCGGAACATACTGACGATCGTTACTTTTTTGGCTTGTGTTGGAGGTAGTAGTGAGGTCACTAGGCACCTTAGATAGTGGGGCAGTTCTTCCATTTTAATAGTTTAAGGTACCCCCCGGATTTTCAGGTTATTGCGTCTGGAGCGATCATCTAACTCAGTAAGTTGTAAGGAGAGTGCTTGTTGGGCTGTCCTCACTTCCTGGAGTGAGTCTTCCATGGTGGATACTGCTTGCTTCACATCTATGATGTCTTCTTCTGTGGTATCGACCCTGTCAGTCACCATTTGCAGATCTGTCTGTATCACTGCAATATCTGCTGCCCAGGTCTGCCTAAAGTCAGCTAGAAGTGCTTTAATGTCCTGCTTAGTGGCTAGATTGGAGAACTCAGGGTAAGGTGGTGCTGCTTGCTCATAACCCTGTTGCTCAGATTGAGGCTGTGCCTCCTCCTGTGTGGTAGTTTGAGGTGTACTGGTGGTTGTACCTGCTTCCAGTGTCGCCATCTTGCTTTGGGCCTGTTTCTGGAGCATGACCCCAATGTCTCTAGAATCTTCTGGTGTCCCCAGCAGGGGTCTTTGCTATCTCCTTCCCATTTCGGGTAGCAGCCCAAGTGTAGGGGTTGCAGCTGGCTGTGCTCTTGTGTCCAGTATCTGGAACGGATTCTGCCACACCTCGAGGCCGAGGTCTGGGTGGAGGTGGTAGGCCGCAAGCCTCCTTTTCCACCGTTTCAGCCCGGGTTGCAGAAAAAAAGGCATGTACCGGCTCCGTGGGTCGTGCCAGTTGTGGCAGTCGGATGGACACAGATGCCCCTGATTTTGGATGGATTAGGCCGTTTGTCTCGGGAGCCGTGAGTAATGGCGTCCGCTCCGGCCCGTGGTTAATCCCCGCCCCCTCCACAATTAGTATTTTTAAAGGGCAGTGCATCCCAGGGGCATAGTCACAGGGTAAGAGGCTGGCAAGCAGGCCTCTCCAAAAACCAGTGGCGAGGTCACTTTCACCACAGGTAGGGCAACGGATTCCCTTGTAGTGAGGGTGCGTCATGACTGGCTTCAGGAGTTTCTTGAAGTACTATGGGTCGAACCCATAATGGTAGATATAGATAATGGAACCAGCGCTTGTACAAAAAAGAAAATATTAAATACAAATATATCTTATAATAGTGAATAGCTGCTAAACATTCAGAGATTCCTATTCGATTTAACACACAAAACAAATTAAGAATGTAGCGCTTATATGTAAAGAAATTAATCACCTTTTAGAGTTTGGAGCAAAGTTTCACTGAAAAATCGTCAGGAAAAATATCTATAAAAGATAATCATACATAGTATAAATCACACTTATATACATTTATTATTAGTAAGTAGTATATAAACTCACAAACGGAGAGCTATGGACTTAGCTCTAGTTTGAATAGCCTCTGGGTCCATACAGGTGACCCACCCCTCCTCACGATATGTTTCTGAGATCTGTGGATGAATAGAAATACACCCAATTGCGGAGTATAGTTTATAATATCTCTGAGAAAATATATATAGTCTTTAAGCGGGTACTCACAAGTATGGAGTCAAGATATATTGACTCAATTTCGTAGCGCTGTGCAGATTCGGGACTGCACTCCCCGTTCAATATAACGATATCGGGAACCAGGATCGTTAAAAGTAATAAAAGATTTTATTAATACACTCATATATATAAATAAAAAAGCCTCAATGTGCTAAAAAATACCGGGACGCGTTTCGCCACTACAAACGTGGCTTCTTCAAACCGGATTGTGATAAAACAATGATCCTGGAACTCCTCTTCTCAAGTTTAAATATCCAAAAAAACAGCGGGCAAATTCCAAAGCACATTAACCGTCACACATCAGTACCACCCACAGGTATGACGTGTGCGGTCCATGCCTCCCTTTCATGCTGGTACCGGGAGCGGAGATAATTATATTCTTTCTTGTCATTTCAATTCGTCTTGGTTTTCCATACAGTACCTCATATTTGTTTTCAATAGCTGATATATATCTTAAAAAATTCGTCATTTTGTGTTAAAGTTAAATCTTTTAATGTCCACAAAAGTCCATCTGACGAAAAATGACATTTGTTCCCATATGGAAGGAGAAGAAAAAAAAAAGGAAAAAAAAACAAAACAGAAGGCAGCATCAGTTTTCTTATTATTACAAATGTTTTAGTCTCTTTTATCTGTAACATTTTGTTTCATAAATTGTAATTCATAATGATACTGTAGCAGATACATTGTCAATTTTAGTTATCTATGAACATTTCACATTTTGATTTTGATTTAGTCAATAAAAATAAATAATAAAAACCCGAAATGAAAATGTAATGTTGTTACATATCACCTTTCTTTTCTTATTATTTACATTAATCTTAGAATTATATCGGAAGTAGACAAAATAATAGCACATCCTTATATTCTGTTCCTAAATGTCCGCATTAGTTTATAGTTCTTTATAGACAGGGGGCTAGGGGGGGGAACTACTGTCCTCCCCCCCTAGCCCCCACCCCTGAGCGGTGGGTGGGTGCCCTAAATGAAACACCCCCCCCCAATCAAGGTGACTAGGGGTCCCAAGCCCCTAGTCACCCCCCCACCCAAAAAATAAACTATCTCCTACCTACCCCCCCTCACCCTAAAAATAGTGAGGGGGGAATAAAATAACTAACCTGTAAAAAAAAATTAAACTTACCATTTGACATCTTTTTTCTAAAATCTTCTTTCTTCAGCCCCCAAAAAGGCCAAATAAAAATCCATCATACCCGTCGCACTTTAAAAAAAAAAAAAAAACAAGCGAAAAAAAAAATTAATCCATGTTCGCCCTTCGAGGGCACTCCGCGTCCTGAGCTCTGCAGGGCGGGTCAAGGCTTATAAAGCCTTGCCCCGCCCTGCAATTAGGCTTAGAACACTCTGATTGGTGGGTTTAAGCCAATCAGAGTGCTCTGTGTCATTTTACACAGCGTGGGAAAATTCAAAATAACTTTCCCACGCTGTGTAAAATGACACAGAGCCCTCTGATTCAAGCCACCCAATCAGAGTGCTCTGTGTCATTTTACACAGCGTGGGAAAGTTCTTTTGAATTTTCCCACGCTGTGTAAAATGACTCATAACACTCTGATTGGTGGAAAATTCAAAATAACTTTCCCACACTGTGTAAAATGACACAGAGCACTCTGATTGGGTGGCTTGAAAGCAGAAGTCAAATGGTAAGTTTAATTTTTTTTTACAGGTTAGTTATTTTATTCCCCCCTCACTATTTTTAGGATGAGGGGGGTAGGTAGGGGATAGTTTTTTTTTTGGGTGGGGGGGTGACTAGGGGCTTGGGACCCCTAGTCACCTTGATTGGGGGGGGTGTTTCATTTAGGGCCCCCACCCACCGCTCAGGGGTGGGGGCCAGGGGGGGGAGGACAGTAGGTCCCCCCCCTTATTGTTTTATTAGGGCCCCCACCCACCGCTCAGGGGTGGGGGCCAGGGGGGGAGGACAGTAGGTCCCCCCCCTTATTGTTTTATTAGGGCCCCAACCCAACGCGCAGGGGTGGGGGCCAGGGTGGGGACAGTAGGTCCCCCCCCTTATTGTTTTATTAGGGTCCCCTCCCACCGTGCAGGGGTGGGGGCCAGGGGGGAGGACAGTAGGTCCCCCCCCTTATTGTTTTATTAGGGCCCCCACCCACCGCGCAGGGGTGGGGGACAGGGGGGGAGGTCAGTAGGTCTCCCCCCTTATTGTTTTATTAGGGCCCCCACCCACTGCTCAGGGGTGGGGGTCAGGGGGGGAGGACAGTAGGTCCCCCCATCTTTATTTAGGGCCCCCACGGGCGGGGGGGTTATTAGTTTTTTTGTTTTTGTTTTTTTACAGTGAGCAGCTATAAGCTGCTCACTGCTTACTACACATGCCCCTACTTGCGATATAGCGAGTAGGGGCATATTATTTACTAATACTAAGTAATCTTTACTTAGATATTTGTAAATGTGGCTGAAAGACCAATTTAGGTCTTTCAGCCTTTTAGTAGATAACTCCCTGATACCGTGGGAATTTGGGAGTTATCTACTAAGCGGCTGCAAGATGCAGCCGTGGCAATGAATAGAATCGGAGTTTCATTCATTAGAATGAAATTCCGATCCGAATAAAGTGCCGAATTGCGTTCTAAACGAAACAAACATACTGTTCTAATTCAGTTAGAACGCAATTCGGCAGTTTTGTGTAAAGTGACAGGAAGCATCGCGGGAACACAGAGGGAAGGTAAGGATCATGGGAAAATTGCTCTGACCAGCGGAAATGAAGCACACTTTGCTCCTCCGCTGGTCATAGCTGGTCAAGCGGAGGAATCCTCCATAAGGCAAAGAGTCCCTACTTGGTCTTATGATTTTAAAGAAAACTAAAGAAGACAGGAAGAAAAGAATAACAGATCCTGAGAGAGGGGGAGAAGAGGAAGGGATTGAGGAAAGGTAAGTTCGGCATGACAGTGCCGCTTTAAAGACTATATATATTTTCTCAGAGATATTATAAACTATACTGCGCAATTGGGTGTATTTCTATTCATCCACAGATCTCAGAAACATATCGTGAGGAGGGGTGGGTCACCTGTATGGACACAGAGGCTATTCAAACTAGAGCTAAGTCCATAGCTCTCCGTTTGTGAGTTTATATACTACTCATTAATAATAAATGTATATAAGTGTGATCTATACTATGTATGATTATCTTTTATAGATATTTTTCCTGACGATTTTTCAGTGAAACTTTGCTCCAAACTCTAAAAGGTGATTAATTTCTTTACATATAAGTGCTACATTCTTAATTTGTTTTGTGTGTTGAACCCATAATGGTAGACCCATGAATTGACATGGTTGGTCCCGTCAATGAAACCAAAGGAATGGATGACTCCCTGGTGTGATTAGCATGGACAGGTATGTGTCCCTCCATTTTATATGAGTGAACCCATCTTTGGTGTGGAGGAGATCTCCCAGCAGATGAGTACATCCATCTCGAAGTGACCATACACCGCGAATATATTGGGTAGGAATAGGATGGTGATGGGTTGGTAGTCGTCCAACTTCTTTTGACCATAAAGATATCGATGAGTTAACCAGTGACGTCTGGAGAGAATTGCCCAGCGTTTCTGGTGAATAAGGTGTAAATCTCCTCATCTATGAGGTTTGTGGTCCTCCGATACCTGCAGGGGAGGCAGTTATGGAAAAGGGGAACTGCGACCACCAAGGGTTGAACAGATATCCTGATAAAGTATTAGCTAGCTTACCACACTGGGTCATTCTGCACGGGAGTATAGAGGAATTCTATGACATATCCTCCGACCATCTGGAGTATTCTAACATCCATAGAGATTGTTTCACCAATTGAGAAAAGGAGACCTTTGCCCGTGGTTACATCATGAGGGCGTTGAAACAGGAGATATCTACGATTATACCTGTTTCTTTAGTACCGTTAGGCACCACTCTCTGAACTGAAGATCATTAGCCAATGGACCCCATTCCTTTTCCC